CTGACCAAAATTGGTCAAAGTGAAAATGCTCTGCTGTGTTTTGGAGAATAAATCCCCCTCAAAAAGAATGAGGATGCGTTCCCATGAATAGGAGGAGAAACATATCAATTACAATTTTTTTTGGACCTTATACAAGGTCCCAAGCATTGTGACTTCTTGGAGGCAGCTGTTAAATTCTGTTCGGTCATAGGCGGAACTACATATACTACGCCTCATTTCGGAACCCTTCAATAGGTTTATAGTCTGAATAGCAAATTTTTCAAGGTTTAACCACTATAGCACCGTGTCTTCATATGTACATGGGGAATACCAACAATTTTTCTTCAGTGTGGCACCTGTAGTTCCTGCATGTCGAGCGATTACCTCATCCTTTTTGAGAGGGATTTATTCTTCAAAACACAGCAGAGCATTTTCACTTTGACCAATTTTGGTGAGCGGTATCCTTTCCCTGAGGAAGAATCTGTATTGAAGTATTCGAAACGCGTTGGGTATAGGCTGAATGCACTTGCAACTGAGGTTGCAAGATGAAAATCAGCTTCAAGAGGTACCGCCATTTTTTGAAGTAATAACACAAATATTGTCAAATTAACATGTTGTCAAACATTGTCATGTTTTATTAGGGAAATATGCATTTGTAGTACTAATAAAATGTCAAAACATTTTTTTTTTAATTGTTTGGCCTACTTATACTCCAAGGTTGCCTTAAAAACCACACCAAATGTAAGGAAAAAAATTGTTCTATTAGAAAAATAGGGATGATGGCAACCACACTCTAGGTTATACCGGAAGACTTTTTGGCTATTTCCCATCTATATCTGTTTTGGTAACAACCCAAAATTTGTGATTTTCATCCACTTTCACACTCAGTATTATTGGCAAACTGGATAAATAGAGGTGGTGAATCTTCCAAACAGGGGAACAGACAGCTATAAAAAATTTTGAGATTCTAATATTTCTCTTTATCCAAAACTAAAAAAATAAGTTTTGCTTTAGTTATACTTTAATTGGCAGATGTTCAAATTAGGCGAGAAATACCAAACATTCCTGTGTAGGATTTGTCTATGGGATCTTTTTAAATTAGTATAGTAGTACTTTAAATAGATAAATAGATTAAGATCAGATTATTCAGTGCAGCAATTATCATAAACAAGCAGATGCCTGTGTCTAATTAATATGCTTCATACTTTATATGTGTCTTTTGTGAGCTGGCATTTTGTTTTTATTAAGGTGTGGCTCTTTACATGCAGCATGTCTGACATTGAAAAGGTTTGAGGCTTAATGGCTTAATTGTTCCTAAAAGGAAAATAAACTGTTTGCTTTAACTGCTTATAAAGTTTAGCTTTAGCTTGTTAGTGTATTTAAATCTTCTAGTACATTTACCACTACCCTCACCTCAAACTGACAATGCTGTTGCCCAAAGGTGTGTTATTGGCCAGATCACCATGGGAAAAGGCCTAAAAAACTGATGCAGCCACCACATCTAATGATTGGTAAGCTGCAACGCATATGGAAGAAAAATATATTTGAAATATATTTTAAAAATATTCTTCCCAAATATATTGCATATATTTGAAACACTACAATATATTTCAAAATATATTTCAATATATATATATATATTATATATATATATATATACTGCATGTTAAAATGCATTTTTATTACAAATTATATGAAACGTATTTTTAAAAATACATTTCAAATATACTGTATTTCTTTAAAAGTACAAATCTACATTTTTGGAAGGCATTTACAAATATGTGTAAAAATATATGCCAATATATTTGGGAAGAATATTTTTAAAATATATTTCAAATATATTTTTCTTCCATGTGGGCATATATTACATTTTTGGGTTTGGGTTCAATACTACTGTAAGTTTATGGGAAGGGATAGCCTACAAGCACACTATGGTGGCTATAAGTTATGGCTCATGTGAAGCGTGCCTTTCAGGGTAGACCCGATGCAGGCTCCCTTTCAAGGTGAGTCGTTTAAAGTGGAATTTTACCCATAAAAAATTAAGTTCTTTAGCAAGAAGCATACATTCAACGTTGATAATTATGCTACCAAAATTAATATGTGCTGTAAATTGCCTCCAGCCTAGTTCCTGTTTCTTCTTGCCAGAAACTGCCATTTCGCTGAAGCCCAGAGCCCCAGAGCAGCAGTAAATCTTTAGGCTGTAGCAGATCGGCCTTTACGTTTTCCGTAAAACCGGTGGGAAATTTAGAAATTTTTAAAAATGACATTCACTAATACACTAAAATCAAATAGTATAACATTACTGTATCAAAGCATTTCACATACATTTTGTCCCTACTGCTTTGTCCTGTGCCCTGCCTGCATTTTTACTGTTCTTTCTGCCTGGAAACTGAGAAACGTCCATGGCATCCAAAAAGCATCCCTTTAGGTCAAAAGCGGTTTTAGACCAGCTAAAGAACAGCGAAAGTAGATTAGAACCACTTGCAGAATTGAGTGATAATGATTTGTGGGGAAATTCGTCATCAGACACTGAAAACGATTTTGTGACTAAGATCAGTGATGTGCGAACTTGGCGCTATATTTAAAATTTCAGTGTTTTTTGGTTTGATTACATTATTGAATTAAATTTATTATTATATTATTATTTTTAATGATTATTTATTAAATTATAATTTATGATTTCGTGTTTCAAATTTTAACATACCCGGGATGTTTACTAAACTCTTGTTCGGACAGATTTCAGTGAGTTATTCCTAAAAATTACAGGCCTACAATAAAAAACCGAGATAGTTCCATGCAAAAAAATGTACCGCTTGTAGCACAGAAATACTGACATAATCAGACCTCTAGGGAGGTTAAGGTATAAAACCTTCTGCATGCAGCTTCCCCTAAATACATACTTGAGTCCGATCTCGATCCAGAGATGTGCACGAGAGCAGTAGCTCTCTCGGCTCACTTGCTCATCATTGGCTTAGATACAGCAGCAGGAGCCATTGGCTCCCATTGCTGTCAGAAAGAATTGGGCTGGGGCTCAAGCTGAACTCCAGACAAACAGATAAATACACAAATGAAATACATATATGGGAGCTGTTTAACCTGCCTAATGATATGTATTTCTGTTTACTCACTTCTGAGACTTGTGCCTCATGCAAACTGGATGTTTTAATGTGGCTGTTAGAGACATCCGGCATTTGTTTCTGCCTTTAAATGCCCCTGCATGTTAGTCTATGGGACTGATTTACTAAAACTGGAGAGTGCAAAATCTGGTGCAGCTGTGCATGGTAGCCAATCAGCTTAATTATTCAATTAAGCTTGACAAAAAACCTGGAAGCTAATTGGTTTCTATGCAGAGCGGCCCCAGATTTTGCACTCTCTAGTTTTAGTAAATCAACCCCCATTTGTCCATGCATACATAGGCATTTAGAGGCAGAAATGTTTAGAGGCAGAAAATAACCCACTGCCAGTGCATCCAGGAGCAGCAGCGTTTTGGCAAAAAACACATTCGATGCCTGTAAACTCATGAAACATGGATTAATGCTAGGCACGTTTAGCGCTTGAGTGTTAATTCATTTCAATGGCCAGAATAAATTATTATTTTGGCCATTGAAATTAATTAATGCTCAGGGGCTTAATACATCTAAACATGCTACATGCATTTACAAGCATCAAGTGTTTTTTTCTACCAGAACACTGCCAGGAGGAAAGTTGTGTAAGAGAGATAGTGTAATGGCAACTTTGGTAATTCCAGGTAAAACTCCAGACACGAGCTTGAGAAAAACAAGCTTTATTAACCAGCCGGTGCTCTAGCCAGACTAACGTCTGCAAAGCTAAGTACCTTGAAAAAGCATCTTACAGGGTATACATATCAGCAATTACGTCACAATGCATATATTTCCTCTTTCACTTTCTGTACATTTAAAAGACTTTTTAAGCAGTGCAGGATATGGCCTTGTTAGATAAACTTATCTTCAGCTGAAAATAAGGGTACCAGCTACAGACTAGAACACATTATTCCACAGGATATAAGGGAGGGGGAAAGTGAGCTGATGACCTTGCTTCTCAAACAGATGCTGGTAGAAATTTTAAAACTTAAGGGGAACTCTACAATATTTGGGTGCTGCCACAATAGCAAAACATCCGGTGTTCATGGGGCCTTATGCAGCTTTGTTACACAGTGCAATCCTCTCTGGCATGACAGGGGACCTGCTGCAGTTCAGTAACACAGGTCTCCTATGCACCCCCACCCTGTGACTACATTATGGAGTTGATTTATTAAAACTGGAGCACTCAGAATCTGGTGCAGCTGTGCATGGTAGCCAATCAGCTTCTAACTTCAGTTTGTTCAGTTAATCTTTGACAATAAAACCTGGAAGCTGATTGGTTTCTATGCAGAGCTACACCAGACTTTGCACTCTTCAGTTTTAGTAAATCAACCCCTATAAGTAGAGGCAACAGACTGATTGAAACATCTCTGTGCCATTCTGCTCAGCTTTTCTGTCAGTGTGCTCTGTACACTGCACCACAAGTGATCAGTACTTTGTGCTGCTTATCATCCCCAGTCAGAACTCTCTGTCTGATTCAAGTGCCTATACTCTTTGAAGTAAAAAAAAAAAAAATTAAGTATGTATTAATGAATACAGAGCTGCATTTTATGTCTTGTACTTATGACTGGAGATCAGCTCTGAGACCGGGTTCCAGTTCCCACTGATGCGGTGCGGGAAATGCTAAGAATCCTGTGCTACATTGCAATAGCATGGCATTTAGGCGATCTGGTGCGGGTGTCAATGTTAAATTAATGACAGATCACAAATCACAAATCGTAGTGTGATCACCGGAAATTGCATTGCATGGGTGAGAACACCCATGCAATGCAATTCAGGTGCAGGTAAAAAAAGGGTCCTGCACCTAGGATTGCCACCTCATCCCTTTTAAAACCGAACACATATTAACAGCTTTCCTGCCACCCTATAGCAAATATACTTCTACAGGACGGCAGGGTGCACAAAATCACGTATATATACATGATTTTGCATTTCTGGGTAGGGGGCATGTGCGAGAGCCGCGAGTGCACCCTACCTGCGCCGTCATTCGCGGCCACGGCTGTCAATCGCCGGGTCCTGCACAGCACAGCCACTCACAGCAGTGTGATTACAGTGAAGCACACTGACAAGGCCCCCTAGTAAAACACTCCCAGCACACAGTTAACCCTTTGATAGCCCCTCAAGTTAATCCCTTCCTGCTCAGTGCCATTAGTACAGTGTCAGGGCAGGTGGTTAAAGACACAGGTTCTGAGGCTAATTTATTGCAGATAAGGCTGGCCATACACTATACAATTTTCTGTCCAATTTCTGCCCAGTTTCCTTTAGATTTACCTTCAACTATGTAGTGCAAGAGCCTGCCTAATTGATACAATTGAAAGTGTTGTTAGGTTTGACCTCCTATTATATGGTTTTTGGTAAATCTAACCCACAAATCTCAAGAATATTGGATAAACTATGGCCAGCCTTAGGCACTAAATGAGTTTAATTACCACCTTAATCAGCCACCGAACCTGTGTAATTAATATGTGTTCGGTTTTTAAGGGACGAGGTGGCAATCCCATCTGCACCTTCTTGGTGTGGATGCGATTTGAGCCTTACAAAATGTATGGCTCAAATCACACTGCACAGGCATCACCTGTAATTCGCACAGGAATGCAGTGAGATTCCTGTGTGAATTACATGCAGTGTCCCGCACCGCATTAGTGTGAACCCGGTCTTAGGACAGGTCAGATCATTCCTGAAAATCTGATTCTCATCTGCTATCACTGAATGCCTCTAGAGTGCGGTCATGGTGGGGTGCAGGTCTAATTGTATTTAGCTGAGGAAAGAACTAACAAAAGGGAAAAATTAAGTGTGTCTAAATATACCTACTGTGCTCCTGCACTTGCACACGTATCAGAGAGCAGAAGAATTCTTACCTACAATCAGAATCTGCATTTACATTTTATGGTAGAAAATCATCACAGGCAAAATATTTCATGTTCATGTATTTTTTTATTGTTCTGTATTGTTCTTTGTTTTACATGGCAAAGTGTAGTAAACATATTGTAAGGACAATTAATGTTGAGCTTCAGCCTTGATAAGTACAAACAAAATGTTACAAGCAAACCATTTTCTATGTTATTATTATTATTATTATTATTATTACTTTGCAATATGTAGAGCAGCCTTTTTTAACCAGGGTGCCCAGGCACCTTGAGGTTTCTTCAATAGTGCCTTGACAAAATGCCTAAAAATTGCCCAAAATGTGTATACAAGCCAGTGGGTGAACACACGCCTGCCTTTTAGTTATACAAAGCCACAGGTTTTCCTTGTGTCAGTTGATGTCAGTTGCTTGCAAAGCATCCTAGTTTGACCCTCTCCAGCCCCTCTCCATCAGCGCTGGGGTCACATTAGCTCAGTGAGGGAGAAGAGAAACACTTGTATACTAGTCAGTACCACTGTGCAAAAGTGTATTTGCTTTGTAAGAATAAATCACCTCTAACACTGGGTGTCCTACGTGTGTGGATGTTGATGTGTTATATAAAACTATTACATAAAATCGTTGTTTACATTTTATAATGGAGTCCCTTAGGACTGTCCATAATTTTAACCACTTGCCAACCGCCCTATAGCAGAAATACTGCTACAGGGCAGCAGCAGTGTGCAAAATCACGTATATATATGTGATTTTGCATTTCCAGATAGGGGGCATGCGCGCGCCACGTGCACACCCTACCCGCGCTGCCGTTCGTGGCCGCGGCTGTAAATCACCAGGCCCCAGCGTGCTTACCAGTGCCAAGGCTCTCTGACGGAGAGGATGACTGTTTATTAACAGTGATCCTCCCTCTCAGCTTGGGCACACTGCTGTGGATGGCTGTGCATAGCACAGCCATCCACAGCAGTGTGATTACAGTGAATCACACACATCCCGCCCCATAGTAAAACACTCCCAGCACACAGTTAACCCTTTGATTGCCCCTCATGTTAACCCCTTCCTGCCCAGTGTCATTAGTACAGTGTCAGTGCTTTTTTTTTTTAGCACTGATCACTGTATTGGTGTCACTGGGGATGTCAGTGACACCAAGTCAGTTCCACCCAGTGTCAGAATGTCCGCCGCAGTCCCGCAGTCCTGCTATAAGTCGCTGATCGCTGCCATTACTAGTAAAAATGAAAAAAAAAAATCCCAGTATATATATACCTCCATTTGTAAACGCTATAACTTTCACCTAAAACAATTAATTTACACGTATTGGGATTTTTTGTTTAGCAAAGACAAGTAGCAGAATACATTTTAGCCTAAATTTATGACAAATTTGATTTTTTAAATTTTTTTACTGGATACATTTAAAAGCAAAAAGTCAAAAATATTGTTTTTTTTCTCAAACTTGTAAGTCTTTTTTTATAGTGCAAAAAATAAAAAAATCACAGACAATCAAATACCACCAAAAGAAAGCTAATTTCTTGGGAAAAAAGGATATAAATTTCACTTGGGTGCAGCTTTGCATGACCACGCAATTGTCAGTTAAAGTAACGCAGCGCTGTAATGTAAAAAATGGCCTGGTCAGGAAGGGGGGTAAATCCTTTAGGAGGGCAAGTGATTAAAGGGTGTCTTGAGACTGTAAATAATTTTAGAGGGTGCCTTGAAATTGTCCATAATTTTAAAGGGTTCCTTGACTGAAAAAGGTTGAGAAACACTGATGTAGAGCCTAGTTGTTATGCTAAAGTGTGACTCTTTTTCAGTTTTGAGTAAATAAGGATTAAGACCCTTTTTGGGTTTTTTTCCGCTGCACTATCTTCACCTCTTATCTCAGAGACAAAGCAAGAAGTAAGAGGAGCTTCCGCCAAAGGAAAGGCTACTCTCTCTCCGGTCTTCTGTCAATGGGCTTTTTGTCACTTGAGATTGATTTTGCATTCCCATACAAATATAGGCAGGCAGGAACCTGTCATCAGCACAAGCGCAAAAACCCATTAACAAAGGTCTTAAGAGAGTTGTCACCAGGACAGCTGTCCCAATTGTAAGATTTCTCCTCACCTTCTCTGCCTATGAATACTCAAATATTTTGGATTTCCCATAGCTTTCTGTCCCAGAGTTCTAACCCTTCCATGTATTTAAAACTATGAATAAAGGTTTAGACTTAAATATGGTTCCCTTGGCGTATTTCATGAAGAATGTTATTGCTGTATTATAACATCCATGCCAAGCAATTTTCAATTACCTGTTGTATGTATACTTTAGAATAGTGGCATTTCAGCTGTTTAATTGACCAGACTGTCATTCATAACCTGGAACTGATATGCTAATACACATGGATATAGGTGGGATGAGTTGTTGAATGTATTAGTCTGATTTACGGTTTGAAGTTAAAATATTAATGCAGGTAGACATCATCCATTGCACTCTTATGTACATGGACACTTGCTATGTTTCTAGCAACACATCTAATTTACTCTGTATTAGTTGTATGGAGGTGTATATTTAACAGTCTTAACAATATAAATGCAGATGGGGCATATGGATCCTGACATTTGTAGGAGGGTTTTATGGCTAATGAAGATAAAAATTTTGTTTTACACTGTAAATTGCAGTTCTCTCTGATGGTGAATTTTGTTCAGCACAGGGACGGACTGACAACTCATGGGGCCCCCGGGCAATAGGAGATCATGGGGCCCCTGTGTCCTCACCCACACTCAAACCACACCCAAAAAAGCCTATGAAAGATACCAGGGGCATCTCATGGGGCCCCTTACTGACCCCGGGCCCTCGGGCAGTGCCCGGGTTTCCGAATGGTCAGTCGCCCCTGGTTCAGCAATAATAGTTTAACTAACAATGGGTATATAATGTATGTTATCTGTAGTAGCTACATATACAGGTGTCCAAACAATATTTTAAAGACATTAAAGATCCATAAACTATGGGATTTATTTGTAGAATAGCACAGCCTTTCTTAACCAGGGTGCCTTGAGGTTTCTTCAGGGGTGCCCTGGCAAAATATCTAAAAATTGCCCAAAGCCAGCAGGTGGAAGAAGCATGCCTTTTAGTTACACAAAGCCACAGGTTTTTATTGTGCACCATTATGACCTTCTAGCCATCGGCATCCTGACAACCAATGACATCATCAGTTGATAAGGAGGATATTGGTTGCCTGCACAGCATCCTAGTTTGACCCTCCCCTACCCCTCTCCATCAGTGCTGGGGTCACATTAGTGATGAGTGATGGATAAAAACTGAGTGAGAAGAGAAACACTGGAATACTAGTCAGTACCAGTGTGCAAAAGTGCTTTGCTTTGGAAGAATAAATCACCTCTAATGTTGGGTTTCCTATGTGTGTGCATGTTGCTGCGTAGTATAAAACTATTAAAATAGTTTTTCACATTTTAGAATGGGGTACCCTTTTAAAACTATGGACAGTCTAGAAATATATATAATCCCCCTGCGCTCCACTGGTATGAACAAACACAACCCCAAATATATGCAAGCTGCTACCACCTATTCCCAATACCACAGGATGTATGACATAAAAAAACAATATTGGTTAAGCGCTTCACATGAAAAACTAAATAAGTAGGTGCAATGATATAAAAATACATATAAAGTGACCACACTGTATTGAAAGGTATTGATAACTAATAGCTAAATAATCTCCCCAAAAAATATATACGTGCCAAGTGCTGAAAGTGCAAAACAGGTCATGCGTTTGCTGACTATATCGTGCCAAAATAAAATATATGCACAGTAAACATAATACACAATAACATTACACATTCTAACTGAAAGTGGAAAGTGCTCAGTATGGGTATGAATATAGGTTAAAAGTAAAATCCACAATAAAGTGCAAAATAGGTCATGCGTTTTCTGATTAGGCCGTGCCAAAATGCAATATATGCACAGTATATATAATACACAATAACATTGCACACTAACTGAAAGTAAAAAGTGCTCAGTAGGAGTATGAATATTGGTTAAAGTAAAATCCACAATAAAGTGCAAAATTGTCATGCGTTTGGACTAAATCGTGCCAAAATACAATATATGCACAGTGAATTAATACACAATAACATAGCACACTCTAACTGAAAGTAACAGGTGCTCAGTAGGAGTGGATGAATAATGGTAAAAAGTAAAATCCACAATAAAGTGCAATAACAAAGTGCTTGACATATCATGTGCAAACAAACACTGCGATGTCAGTGCTTCAATTCTTCACTCCAAACATGATGCGTGTTAGCATGCCACACGTGTATATCGTAATCCAAAAATGGCTAAAGTGCCTCCTCACCTTAACCATGCGACCCCTAAGGGCCACAATGCACAGTATAGCAGATCTCATACAGCTGGTCTCCCATGTGCAAACGGGTGTACTGCAAGGTGCTGAGTGTTCAATGATGGCGTCTGCCGGAAGTTTTAACCAGAAGTTCATCACTGCGCTCTACGCGTTACTCCCCACGATATCACGTGAGATGATATCCCCAGTCTGGTGGAGCTATATTACCTAAAGTATTGTGGCCCTTAGGGGTCGCATGGTTACTGAGGAGGCACTTTAGCCATTTTTGGATTACGATATTTGGCATGCTAACACGCATCATATTTGGAGTGAAGAATTGAAGCACTGACATCGCTGTTTGTTTGCACATGAAATTTCAAGCACTTTGTTATTGCACTTTATTGTGGATTTTACTTTTTACCATTAGTTACTCCTACTGAGCACCTGTCACTTTTAGTTAGAGTGTGCTATGTTATTGTGTATTAATTCACTGTGCATATATTGTATTTTGGCACGATTTAGTCAGCAAACGCATGACCTGTTTTTCACTTTATTGTGGATTTTACTTTAACCAATTATCATACTCCTACTGAGCACTTTTTACTTTCAGTTAGAGTGTGCAATGTTATTGTGTATTATGGACAGTGCATATATTGCATTTTGGCACGGTCTAGTCAGCAAACGCATGACCTTTTGCACTTTATGTGGATTTTACTTTTAAGACAATATTCATACCCATAATGAGCACTTTCCACTTTCAGTTAGAGTGTGTAATGTTATTGTGTATTATGTTTACTGTGCATATATTTTATTTTGGCACGATCTAGTCAGGCATGCCTGTTTTGCACTTTCAGCACTTGCACTTATATATTTTTTGGGGGATTATTTAGCATTAGTTATCAATACCTTTCAATACATGGAATATGTATTTTTATATCATTGCACCTACTTATTTAGTTTTTCATGTGAAGCACTTCCCCAATACAGTTTTTTTTTATGGACAGTCTAGGGAGCCCCATTTTAGAATGGGGTGCCTCAAGACTATCCATAATGTTAAAGGGTGTGACCTCAGCATGTCCATAATTTTAAAGGGTGCCTTGACTGAAAAAAGATTGAAAAACACTGGAATAGCAGATACTGTATTATATAACCTCTACAGTTTAATAGGGAGTTCTTATTCTGGAGTGCCAATTTTATGGGTAGTGACCCAGAGCAACCAATGAGGATTCACTGTTCTGATCTAACTTCACTTTAGAGTAATTCTGGTTATTATCATTACTGTAGTATTAGTATTTAAAAATAGGAACTCTTTATTTAATAAGGTTGATGGTCTTGATATTTGCCTTGTACTCAGAACTAATGTAATAGTGTTGAACCAAGAATGAACTTTGAGCTGAGCAGATAAATATGCACTGTTTGCGGAGTGTTTGCATTGGTTACAAAGTTCATCACCGACTGTCAGTTTTACACGTTGATGTGTATTTCCCATGCTACTCCTTTTTGTATGATTACAATTACACAAGTGTTGTAAGTCAAAAGACTATATTCAGGATGTAAATCCTGCAAACCATAAGATGTTATTTGATTATTGGGTGTAGGTCAGTACAATTCATTGACACATTTTCCTATTCCAAAGACGTAAGCAATTGTATTCTCTTGGTTTATCATGACACTTCAAATATTTTGCAATATTTTTTGGTGTCATGAACTTCCCTTGCCCTGTTTTATTTGATCATCTACAGTTTGCTAAAGTTTTGGCAGCTGTATGGTTTGGGAGTACCGAAAATTGAACTTTAGGTTAAAAATTAAAAAAGGGTAATCAGGCAGGAATTTTATTGAAGATGAGCCATGCTTTGTCTCTTC